GTAGAAGTAGCAGCAGTAGTCGTCGTCGTAGTCGTAGTCGTAGTCGCGGTCGTCGTAGTAGTAGGAGTAGTAGTAGTAGTAGTAGTAGTAGTAGTTGTTGTAGTAGTAGTACATGTTCTAGCACTAGTACGAGTACTAGTTTTGCAGAAGTCTTTTGACCTCGCCGGTTTGGGCTGATCGGGCTCGATATAGAGAGAGAGTCATGCTATTCATGTCGTGACGGCTGTAGATATTCAGCCAGCATCCGTTTTAATGTGTGAGTGGTGCATGCAGTAGCATGCGAGCAATCTATGGCGAAATGTTGCTTGTAGTCGTAGTCAGTCGTAGTGTTCTGGTGCATATCATAGCTAAATGTCAGACCCCGACATGTCCATGTCACTCGTGACCATCAGCGTAAACTGTCAACACGGGTCCAGGGTTGTTGCAATCTTAAGGAAAATGAGGTTGTTGGACGTCGGGCCGGGCCGTCCTGTACGACGAACTTCAGCCTCAAACCTGTGCTGTCGAGGTGGCATGGCGCGGAGTCGAGAAATACCCCAGTCTGATGCCCAAGAATTGAGGATTTGGGACAGTTTTCAGCCATGATGCGATACAATTGGCTTGGCAGGTTCTGCGGAGGATGGGGTAGGGCGTTTGCCGACTGAGTGATCTCTAGGGTGGGCGGAGCAGCAGCTATGCAGGCAGGCAGGCAGGCAGGCCTCATGCACCGATTTTTGTCAACAGCTTTTCTGGTTCAGGGTGTGTCTGTATTACATCGTTGCACGTGTTTTCATCTGAGGGGAGTATAATTTGCGCGACTCTTATTCCTATCAGGATTGCCGTGGTCGCACCAAGCCCTACAGACGCGTTCGTCTTCCCAGGTTAACACGGCTGTGGCTGGCGATGCTGTCTGGCAATTGACTGAGAAATTGTGAGTGTATCGAGCCGCAGGAAATCGCTGTCTTGCCAGACACTACCGCCCAACAACACAACTCTCGCGATGATTTGAGTTCCCTTTGAGGTTCCGCCAGGAGGATGATCAAATTTGCGCAGGAGCCGCAAATTCAAGTGGATGTCCGAAGCGCTACGACTACAAAAGAGTTCAGAAATTTGGGGTGTGTGTGTGTGTGTCTCCTTCCAAACAGCTTCGTGTTCATGCTGTGACCGATTGTCGGCAAGTCATGACTCTTCTTCTTGCTCAGTTGTGGCTTCGAGTTTTAATGGCAAGAGTAAAAGCAATCGATGAGTATCGCGACAAACATGATGAGTATCACTTCGGTGCTCTTGTTGGGTCAGGTCGACAGGCTGCGTCCCAGCTTCCACATAATCCAAAATAATCCAAACAAGCCCTTTTGCCCCGAGTCTCAGATCGTTTTCAACCCGTCTCGAATCATGGAGCCACTGCAGGACTGGGCACATCCGAACAAGACTCAGACGCTTTTCAATGCCTCAGCACGAGAGACTTCTCTCAAGAGGCGGGAAGTTCAGAGATTGAAAACTTTCTCGTGGCAGTTGTCCATATTCTGGACTTCGTTCGCTGGCTGGCGATTGCTAGCTGAGGCTGTTGAACACCGACTGCCACAACGAACACCACGCCATAGCTCCTGGGCCCTAGCCTCCAAGACCGCAGACTCCTTCAAGCACTCCCCGAACTTGTCCGAAATCACCGAAGTTTGTCTCAAACCCCGATCCTTAAACACCTGACCGGAAGCACTACGGAGAAGCAGTAAGACTGAACAGGAGCTCTTGAATCTCCTCGAGCCGCCGAGTTCCGAGATGTCCTTATGAAACATGCCCCTATTTCATGTTGCATATCGCGGTTGTTGTGACGACAATGGCTGTGTTGATGATGATTGCGATCTGACGACGACAACGATGATGATTATGATAGTGATGGTGAGGGTTGCGAGGGTTGAGATGATGGTGAAGATGAGCATGTTGCCGACAACACGTTACGTTTTTCATCATGGGTGCACTGCATGTCGACATTTAGCTACTAGCAACCAGTCTTTTGTCGATGTCTGTCAAGTAGGCACTGTTAGAGTTGCTTGGCTGTGGACGTGATTCTGCTCCACGGTGCTTACTTGGTGGTGTTCTGAATGATAAGACTGCGGGTATTATTCACGTTTTGCTCTTCCTGGTTCAGACAACACCGCACCATACCTGATGTCTGAATTGCAAGATGAAGTTGGCTCATGTCTGGTTTATTGGGTCTTCCACAAAAGTTAGTTCGCTTCAAGCTAGAGCCATACTGACCACGGTGACTATCACTCCCTTCGAAGACTCAATGATCATCATGTCGTCGCTAACCAGGTTACAGAAGATGCACGTCAGGGAGGGTTGAGGTACCCGGCTCTGAACTTGGAAGAGCATGGGTTCTTTGGAGCAGAGTGATATTGCGGATGAAGCAGGACAAGGGTTGGCACCCGAACCGTACTGTAAGCCAAAGCCTGGTTCACCGATTCCCGAGCCTTAACGCATCACTCAAGTGTACAGTAATAAAACCTGGAACCCCGCTACTGGATGACTGTCACTGTATTCTGAGGCTCCTTGCCAGAATACCGGCTAACGCTTCGGGCAGGTCTGGCCCTGGAGAAGCAATCTAACACAATTTCTACCATGGCGTCGCAGTCAGTTAGTCCTCGTCGCTTCATGACCATGGTGTACATTGGAACTGACTATTGATGAGTCTACGTTCTGGTGGAAGTCCCTGAGGCAGGACAAGTAATCTTGCAGATGGTTCAAATCAGGTGGGGGTCTGTATAGGCGGGGCTCGGTGGAATTGGGTTTCAGGCCGGAGGCAGATTTTGAAAGGTAACACTCCAGTGTATTGAGCAGAGACCTTGGAAAGGCATTTGACAGGAGGGATCCCTCTGCCGAAACAATCTGTGCATCTGAGTGCGGGAGGACAAGCTGGAGGGCTATCATCGGCAGTCTCGCGGTGACCCTGAGCACGCCCTGCACTCGGTTTTCGGCATTGCAACAACAGGATTCCACAATGGATCTTAAACCGAGAGCAACCAAGCCTGGATGTCCCCTTCAGACAGTGCTCCCTCCATACAAGCTGCACTTTCTAGTTTCGATTCCAACAAACCTTGAATCCCGCATCCCCAAAAGCCTTTAAACCCACAAATGCCAACAGCCTTCAATTCTGGAGCCGAAGGTGGACGCTCATGCTCTCCTGCCTTCGCATTTGCTGCCGGCAGTCACCCGTCTTGGAAGTCATGGCGGCTTCTGGGCCGTGGGATGCAGGGATTGACATTGAGGGCTCAGGCGTCCGTGAGGTGTTGTGATCCCAACGCCCTTGGCCACAGATCGGACTGTCATGAAGCACCCCGGCATGTTGTTTTCTGAGCCTTCGTCCAGGAAAGCGGGAAAAAGGCCTCGTGGCAGCAGCACTGGAAACTTTGACTTGGAGGAAGGGTTTCCTTGCTGACTTCATGTGGCTGCGAGATGGGGCAGCCTTGGTGAGGGAAACAGGTTGTGGGCGGGACTTCGACAAGAGGTCCGAGCAGTGTCTTGAGCAGGCACCCCTGAAAAGAACCCAGACAACTGGCTGCAACGATGATGCTGATGCTGGATATTGTGGTGAGTGTCATGCCCAACACTTAACCATGTCGACAACGACAACACTAAGAGATAAGACGCGGCCATGGTATTTGCAATAAAGAATGATTTGAACATTTGTGTTAGTGTTACCAGTGGCAGTGGCAGTGGCAGTGGTAGTAGCAGTAGTAGGAGTGGTGGATTCGCCGTCGTCGTAGTCGTAGTAGGAGGTTGGGGAAGATTACTCGTAGCAGGTAGCAGTGGTAGCAGTTGCAGGAAGTGGGATGAGTAGATATCCCAGTGGTAGGGGTAGTAGTCGCAGTAATAGCAGTAGTAGTAGTAGTAGTAGTAGTAGCAGCAGCAGCAGCAGCAGTAGCAGTAGCAGTTTTAGTCGTCGTCGTAGGAGGAGGAGGCGGAGGAGGAGCGACATCGTGCCATGTTCGTCAGGGTTTCTAGACCAATCACTTTATATTTTTTTTAAAAAAACGCATCTTGGCAGCGGCAGGCCGCTGGCAGCGTCAACAGGTTAATTAGCAGCATCAGAAGTAGCAGAAGCAGCATGTTTTTCAGTGCTGTGTTCCTTGTGATTCTGCTGCTCCAATATCATGATCAGGACCCTCATGAAACAGTCTTGTGGCTTCGTATCTGAGGGCAAGGATCTCTTGCACCCTGCTGCACCGCTGGGTCAGAGACTGCGGAGATGCCCGGCCCTTAATACAGGTACACTGAGGCCTACTCTCAAACAGTCCGTTGAATTAACTTACATGTGTGTTGGTAAAGACTTTACGAGTCATGGGACAGTAGTGGCGGTGGTGGGTGTCGTAGTCGTCGTCGCGGCTCCCGGTCGTCGAAGAAGCAACACCAACACACGCGCAATAGTCATTGGCAAGGCAGGAAAGCTCGGCCGCAAGGGCTGCAGAAGCGTGTGTGTTGTTGTTGGTGGTGGTCGAGGTGGTGGTTGTTGTTGTTGGTGGTGGTGGTAATGGTGGTTGCCCAACTCCGTGCGAGCTGGGTGGCTTCTCACTTCAGTGTTTCAGGTCTCCCAGTCTAACGCCGAGGCCTAGAATCTGATGCCTTGAGCCAGAACGTCCAAGCAGTGTCATCCGTACTGCTGTTGCTGTTGAGCTTTTCATCTTCTTGATGTTGTTCTGCTGATTCTGTTGCCTGTGGGTGCTGAGATGTTTATTGTTGTCGCGAGGCCACCATCGCTTGTAACTTGAAGTTCATGCAAGGTCTTTTTCACCTTCCCACTCATGGGCGCGGCCCTTGGCTCTGCAGACTGACGTTACTTACCCGCTTTGCGGGTTGGGTCGCTTTGGGGTCAGAGGGTTAGCTTGCGTAGCACCGGGTGCCCAGGCAAGTCAAGTGGTGAAGTAGCAGAAAATCTGCTGAGCTCCGGTCACATGCCACGGTCTTGCGAAAACAGGCTGTGCAAATCTGCTTCCTAGTTCTCGTGGGGAGACGGGCCCCTAAATGTGAAGAGATGAGGGGAGGGGAGGGAGCCGTGGCCCCGGGGATCCCAGCGTATCTCCAGGCTCGTCAGGCGAGCAAGACTTACTGTGGAAGTTTGGGGCGCTGTGTCAGATCCTGTCGACAGCTTTTCAGCAGATGGATTGTGGCTCTCGTCGAGTTTACGGTGCATCTTCATACGCAGAGGCGTAGCATGGCCGGTACCGATCGGCACAGCATTAGTGCATTGTATTTACAGAGCAAGTCGGAAATAGGTAATGTCGGAGTGCCTTGAGGTGTGAAGGTCGTTCTGGACAAGATGATCGTCCCCGCCCTACTGACATGCTCCTGTGACCATCCTAAAGTACTGCCTTGGCTATGGGGCTTCTGCATATTTAGAGCCTTGACTTCAAAGCTCTGCACAGCAACCGATCTCCGAGCTGCATCAAGCTCCGAAGCAAGATTCTCAACTTCGTGAGAGCTATGTAAATGTACGAAATGTGATAAAACTTCTCTGTAACTTCTCCGAGAAGTCCGTGCGATTGAAGGAGAAACGCAAATGCCGCTTTTTCGTGAGGTCTCGCCGCTGACTGTGGCACAGGCGGCCTTGCTTAGAAGGAGAGCTGCGCCGCCTCCCTGGGTCGAACAAAGATGCTGACAAGAGTTGTTGGGTATGTTGAGTGCTTGGTACAGCTTGCTTCAAGGGCGCTACTATTTCCAGCACTTTGAAGTTGAAGATGTTTGCATTGGAGGATTCTGCGGGCTGTTTCAAGTGGGCAAATAGATCTAATCTAATTATGTTGTCAACTGACTTCTCCCACTGCCCTTCTCCGAAACACGACTCAGGCAGACGCTGCGACTGCAGGACCAGCTGCTAGCAGAGGCAGCTGCTCCACGGTAGCTTCGCTCTCTGTTGTAGGCTGCAAAGGGTTTAGGATGACCTATGGCCGCTTCAGCTTTGACAACACCGGAGGCTCGAACTAGAGACATGCTTAGGTGATTTGCAAGGCTTTCCGCAACAGACGCACGCACCTGAAATACCGATATCCCTCAAGCATCGGAAGACGTGTCGCGATCGCAGTGTGCAATGCCCTGAAGTAGGTGATCGTTGTCAGCCCTGCAACAGATCTCCATTTGACGGCGTTCGATCCGTGAGGTGTAGCAGTCTTCGACAAGATCTTTTTTTTTCGGTAAGGCCAAGGAACCAAACAAGTCGCCTCAGGGTGGCAACACACCTGGCGCAGGCCCTTTGCACTCGGCGGGTTCAGGGTTCAGCGTTGAGTGACGAGAAGGTGTATCGTGACATTCTGATATTGAAAAGATTCAGATAAGAAGGTTGGCCAGCGTAACACCGATATTGAATACATTTTCCGGGATTTCCATGCCTTCAGAGGTGTACGCGGCGTTTAATTAAGGTTGCACAGCACTCCTTAGCGCTCGAAATGGCGCTGAGAGTGGATGGCACCAGAAGTCCTCTGCCGCTGTGATCGCCGAAACCTCTTTTCTGAGATAGGCATCCCACAGCTGTCGCAGGGTCACTGGCACACACTCGTATGCACTTTGAAGCGCGGCAGAAAACTTACAACCGTCACTAAACACTGGCCTTTCTGCTTCCCAGCCTGTGTTCGGGAGTACAAACGGTTGGTCACGGGTCCCGCTCTTCTGTACACACCTGCTGTGGATCTTCTCCCACAGCTCAGTAGCGTCAGCTCCCTCAAATTGTAGGAGAGTAAGTGCCTCGCTGGCACCGCCATCAACTGGTCCTTCAACCAATGTAGGCATCTCCTTGAAAGCATCCAGGGCATCCAGGATGTTGGAGTAGGACTTGTCATCCCACTCAGCTGACACTCCGTCGCTTCGTAGAAGTCGAACTTCGTCCAAGAGGTGGTCGACGACCTCGACTTCCTCGGCCCTGTAGAGCGGAATCGAGCCAAAGACACCCTCAATTATCTGCATGACGTCCTGGTAGGCGTGCCAGACGTTCCGCTCAAAGAGTGCATTGCAGATGTCGCGGTGGGCTTTGGCCTGTGGATCGTCCCATCGTTCTTGGTGCTGAGGAGCGCAGGCCGGTTGGGACTGGAACGTAGGCGCGAGAGTGAATTCTTCGTCTACACGGCTCTTCCAAGCCCTGCTTCCGAAGCCTGGTTGCATGGCTGTGTTGACTCGCCCTTGATTTCGTAGAGTCAGCACGCATGCTGGAGTATCACGAAGGTGTACAGCAAGGCGCGCATGGGTCCAGTATTCCCGCCCACAAGCTCCACACAAAGTGCCGTTGGCGCAAGAGCGGAATTGCGCACGGCGACCATGCACTTTGAACATGTGGGCTCCGAGGCCGGCTTTGGTGCGGAATGGCTGGGAACACTGTCGGCAAAACCACGGGGATTCCACCCAGTCTAACTTCGGCAGGAGTTGGCATGCTCGCTTGTACATAGCCCACAGCCCAATCTGAACGATCTTGTCGTCACATGCCTGGTCATGGAGCCTCTGCAAGGCTTTCTTGACCCGGCGCTTGAAGCTGGCCGTCGATTGGCCAATGAGGTGCCACCATTCCGGCCAAGCCGCTTCAGTAAGGTCAGGCCACTTGCCCCCTTGCCGAGCAACGAGCTTCAGGTCCTGACACACCGCAGCGAACCAATGGCCCTCTGTCTGTAGGGCCGCCCACAGAGTCCTCGGCCTGGCCTTAACCAGGGAGCAAAGAAGGCCCAGTCGGGCCTTGACAGCCTCAAGCTCCAGGCTCCAGCACCCCGTCATCAGGTGAACCAGGGGGACAGGGATCTTCAAAAATTCAGACGCCCCCATCTGCGGCTGCAGCAAGTGTCGAAGCTGCCTCGAATAACCCGAGCAGAGCCGTCGCCAACTCTCCCCGTCCGGCAACCATATGCCAAGATTGAAGTAGGTCGGCAGGATCGTCGCAGTGAACAATGTGGCTCTGGTAGAAAGCGGTAGCTCTCGATTCTGGTAGAAGAGCCGCTTCCCTGCCTCATATGCACTACGGGCAATCGCTGCTCTTCGCCGGCTTTCATCTTGCATGGTGGCCTTAGCGTCCAGGACGCCTCCCAGATGCTTGTAGGTGGGGGCAACGGACACATGGACCCCAAGCTCCTCGATGCACAGCTCCTGCTTGCCCTTCTGAAAGAACTTCGCCCTGGCCTTATTGGAGCCTGGTCCCTGGAGGGAGACGAGGAAGCTCGTTTTACCTTTCCGAAGGTTGGCTTCCAATCCATACTGCTGGCAATAGGAGAGAACCAACGAGCCTAGGCGCTGCGCCTTTCTCAAAAGCCGCTCCGGGCTTCGGTCGGCCAGTGGTAGTGCAGTATCGTCGGCCCATGTAGTGTCACGGGCTCCGTAGGGATCTCCAACTCCAGCTCGGCCGAAAATTCCAGCTGCCTCCTCGAGGTGGTGGTAGCTGAGCAGCTCCTCGCCGTCCGCCAACTCCGCAATCTTGCCAAGCACCCTGGCATACAGGAAGCTGAAGAGGGCGTCTGCCCAACTCTCCCCCGGGCGCGAGCCTGCATATGTTGAGCACAGCCGCGAGCCAGTGCTGTTCATGCTGACAAACCACGTCTTATAGTGGAAGTCAGCAACCGCTGAACATAACGCCGGACTGACTCCAGCGTCTCTCATCGCCCCGCCCTCTTGGATCAACTGCAGTTGCATGCGCATCTTCTCCAGTCAGGCCAAACTTTTTGAGGATGCGGGCGACTGTGAGGTCGCTGCGAATGTCACCACATGAGGCCTCACGGAGGATCCTATAATAGGCAGAGCGGATATCCAAGAAAAGAACAGCCATCGAACATCGCGTACGGTAGCTGTGTCGGATGTGGCTGAGGATGTAGAGGGCACCGAAAGTCACCGGCGCCCCCTTCTTAACACCATAGTGCATGTCGTGGAGGACTCCCTGGATCTGGGTACTCGCCTGATTGCGGATGACCCGATGAAGGGCTTTGCCCATGGTGCTGGAGACAAACAGTGACCTGTGGCTGGCCGGGTCACTGAGCTTTCCAGACTGCTTCCAAGCAGCATAGAGTACGCCCCCTCGCCACTGCAGCGGCTGCTGATGTAAAAGCAGCGACTTCAGAAACAGTGGCTGTATAAGAGCAGCCATCGAGCTCGGAACAGCCGCGAGCAGCTCTGAGGGGAGGTGGTCAAGGCCTGCGGCTTTGCCACGTGGAAGTCGCCGAAGAACTGATTCGATGTCCGTGAGGCTCGGCAGCTCGGCCGCACTCCATTGTGGCCCATCATAGCATCGAAGGTCCTTATCATCAGCTGTGAGAAACTGCTCCACTGTCATGACTTCACCGCATTCCTGGTCACCAAAGTGACGAAGCCACACATCATCACGATCCGCTCGAGAACAGACTTCGCGGCCTTCGGCATCAAGCAGGATGGGCGGGGGGCGAACAACTGACCTGGAGTTCTTTCCACCCACACCTGCGCGCTTGGCCTGTTTGAGGATCTGAGATGGCGCCACATTCCCTTCCGAGACAAGCTTCCGCAGATAGTCCGCCTTGGCTTCGTTGATTCCCCTTTTGATGACTTTAGTAGCGACAGTGATCGCAGCCGCCGACACCTGGTAGAGCAGGAAGTCCTTGCCTCCCAACACCTTGTCCACGGTGGCCTCACCACACCAGATGTCAAAGGCGGCTCGTACGAACAAAGTCCTCTGCTCGCGTCGGGCCGCTGTGCGCTTTTTCAGCTGGATCTTCTTGTCTCGCAGGGCCCAAACCCACTCCGGAATGTAGGAGGCCCGGGGGCCCTTCTTGGGGACAGGGAAGTGCTGCTCCATGATCTGGATCAAGTAGTCTTGGACCTTCTGACAATGTGTATCAACATGCTCCTCCCAGCTGGGCTGTGAGAAGCGGGCCAAGGCCTCCTTGATGATTGCTCTTCCAGATGGGGCGCACATCTTTTCCCGGTCAAATTTCAGGCGCTGTAGCCTACCATATTCCCCGGTAGAGCCGAGGCTGCCTTCAATTTGAAGGCAGACAGGATAATGGTCATCTCTGGGGGCAAGCAGGTCCACATCAAAGTTGACCGAGCTGCGTGCGCCAGTGATGCGTGCCCGGCCTCCAAGACAGACAAAGTCTATGCGGTGTTTTCCTCCACTGGGGTGGCAAAATGTTTCACTGGGTCCGTGGTGGCATTCAAGATACGTTGATGGTAGCCAGCACCCCAACGCAGCAAACACGCTTGCAGCTTGCTCTCCAGCTGTATCGGGGTTGTCATAGACCAATCCACCCGTTACTCCCTCGAAATCTGGTGGGGGGCGGCCGTTCAAATCGATGCCACCGATGAGCACACCAACATTGCGGTACTTTTGCAGCTTGGCCTTCAGTAGCCGGAGGTAGGCCTTTCGCTCCTTGTCGCGCCCAGTATGCGGGCAATGTCCGGAGAAGAGAACACATCTGCAGTCCCCAACCACAATGGCAACAATCAGCAGTCGAGGGTCGCTGTGGATGAGGCGAACATCATCTTCACCAATCGGGCAGGCCACACCAGCTCTACGAAACAAGCCTGCAGTCCGACTGATCCAAACAGCAACTCCCCAATGTGAGCATCCGTTGCTGCCAACACGTAGAAATCTGGAGGAGGTACACAGCCCACCCGTCTCCTTCGTTTCCTGGAGGAAGACCACATTGTAATCCTCCGCCTCAAACTGTTGCTCCAGGTAGGCGTGCTTCCCGCCAAGACCCTGGATATTGACAGTGAGAACCTTCAATTGAAAGTCCATGACCTGATCAGATTTACCAGGCCATTGCTGCTGGATCGGGATGAGCTGCTGGGCTGTGAGGGGGGTGCCTTCTTGCCGCAGGTGTGTGCTCCAACAAAGGCATCCGCCCGGTTCCATACACAGCGACTGATGACCAGCGTATAACTTGGCGGTGGCCATCCAGCTAAGGTCCACCTGGAGCATCATTTCCACCAAAGCGGACGGTGGGCCCTGATTGGGCGCTGTGTCTTTGGCCATGGCCTTCGCGATCGAGTCAGCCATTTCATGCCAGGCATTGCCTGCATGCGCTTTGACATGTCGCCATTCAAGACCACTTGGGAATAGGCACCGGACATATAGCTCATGTTGATGTAGTCGGAGGCCAAAGGAGTTGCCTGGATCCCAAGCTCCTTCAGCCCCACGCCCCGCCGCCATGGCATCAAAATGGAGCGTGGCTCTTTCCAGGGCCACAATTCGCCTGCATTGGCAAAGCCATAGCAGTGCTGCCGCTAAGGCCGATTGCTCAGCATGCAATACCGGAGGTGCCTCGAACTGCCATGGGCTGCTTGCATTTCCGGCCAAACGCTCGCCCAAGATCCCGAACACCGCAGTGCGGTCTCCAGATTGGAGCAATATGGCAACCCCATAGCCACTTGTGTCACACTGCTGCAAGTAGGAGCCATCAGTGTAGAGGTGGGCCTCGATGGGTTCCATGTCAGCAAAGATGTCGCTCCAGTGCACTGTGTCCTGGAGGGCGCTGGTTGTTGCCTCATGCAGCCGAATACCTTCATACGATTCGACCAACCAATCCGGAGGCCAAACTTTGCAGAGCTCAGCTTCAAAGTCATAGCTATAGGGAAGCTGCACCTTGTCAACGGTGAGGTCATAGCTTTGCGGTGGTAGAAGTGTCGCCAGCAGGAGAGTACCCGCCACCTTTGCAACGCCGATTCCTCCTTCTCCGGGGTGTCCACCAGCTTGTTTTTCTTCGTGGCGGTCATCGGCCAAAGCAGTGGCACAATCTGGTGCAGGGGCATTGGTTGACCTCCTTGGGCTGCGGCTTCGGGAGTGGACTGGCTGCGGAGGCGGAGGGCCATATGGTCCAGGTCCAGAAGGCGGGCTGCCGGTTGAGAAATCAGAAGAATGCGGCAATGGGTCTTCATAGGAGGAAGTGGAGGACCCATCGCCATCATCACTGTCGTCTGTATCCATGGCCTCATCGGTGTCTGAAGTTTCGTCAGCGGGGACAAGATGGAGAGTTAGGACCTCTCTGTGCAGGACTCTGACAGTGTTACTGTCAGGTTGTGGTTCCCCACCAGCCATTGTGACCATCCACCCCCTGACGTTCGGCAGCTGGAGCTCCTCGATATAGCTTAGGGGCTCGAAGATCCCGTCCTCCAGCTTGATCCACTGTGGGAAGTGTGTCAGACCGCGAAGATCCAGAAAAGCGATCAGGCCCGGTTGCCCGCTGCTATTATCCACCGTAGCGACTTGGTCCCACACGGATCGCCCTGCGTGGGATAGCCTGTGTAGCCGTTCTTCCGGGGTGACAACATAGCAGGTGCCATGCTCAAGGCCCAGAGCGTCCTCTGCTGTGACCTCGAGTGGGTCATAGTCCTCCTCCTCAATCTCTTGAATGACCTGGTCCTCGTCAGATTGAAAGACCAGGTGCAAACCTTCCAGAGCTCCCGGAGGTGCGACGGTCGGCCGCCATTGTGGGTTTCCCTGTAGCCTCACCACAAGTTCGTCTGCCCACTCACACACTGCCCCACGTCGTACAACTTTGAACACGCCACCAGGGACGACATCAAGAAGCTGTCCTGATATCATTGGCAGCTGGCTGCCAAAAGCATAGCATTCAATCTCGTCCTCGTAGTTGTCCATCTGCTGGAAGATAGTCTCCCTGTTGATGGGGCTGTCGACGTAGGCCGCAAAGGCTGTGCCACCGACCTCCCTGCAGTCGACGACAACGACCCTTCTGCTTGTGAGCTCCAGCCACTTTGGCTGCGCGACAAAGCTCGCAAAGAACTCGCTCAGCTGCGGGCGGGTCGGTAGGAACTCATCGATGTGGTCAGGTATGACCGAGCATGAACCAGCTAGGACCGTCTTCAGCGAGGCCATTGTCACCGGTTGTGGTAGGTCAGCATCAATGATCTCCGACTCGTAATACGGGGTTGCAACCCATGTCGTTACATGGACCCCAACATCAGTCACAGGCGGCGGCTCCGGCGGCAGTTCCTGCCCTGGCGCCCTGACTGTAAAGGACGGATCAGCAGCGGCCCTGGCATTGTGCTCGAGAGGTCGCTCAAGCACCCAGCGCTGAATGGCTGCTTGCATCTGTTCTCTATGGGTCTGTTGACCGGCGGCCCAAAGTTCCAAGTCAGTAGGTCTCGGCAATCTTTGGCGTGGGGGGGTGCTGACTGGGGCCCCTGCTGCAGTTGTTGCAACTAGGCATATCATCCAGGCACGTAGTAGAGCTCGTGGGCCACCACAGCAACGTGCCGGCCGCCGTGAGGCCGCAGTGCATTGCAGCGCCAGCAGCAGAAAAAGCTGTAGAGCTGCGAAGGTCCGGAGCAGGGCATCACTCATCCTGCCCAGAGTCTCTGTCATACCCAAGAAGAGGCCCTCCAGATAGAGCATCCAGTTCTCAACTAGATCCATCAGGCTCCAGACTCTACGCTGTTCTGACACTACATTGGCCTCGTTCTCTTCGATTGCGGAGGCCTTGGGTGGCTCAAAACTTTGGCAAGCATCGGCCATGACAGACAAACCGAAAAAGCCGTCACAGGATAGCCGCCATGGTGAATCCGCACCACCAACCCCAGGTGCTTCATACTGCGGATGACGAGGAACACACCGAAAAGGTCCTCGTTCTCGATGCACAGCCACCCAGGCTGCTACTCCACATCCCCATTGGCTTCTTTTGCCTCGCGCATTGCCACCAGGTCCGCGATGGCATCCTCCTCGTCGTCGGACTGCTCCTCGATCTCGTGCACCTCCGGGGGGTCCAGGCCCCTCCGCTCGTCCAGCTTTTTGGCAAGGCCATCCACCGGGGCCGGCTTGGAGAGTCCCCGGCCAACCAGCTTGATCGGAATCCTTGGGGTATTCCGCGATCTGGACCTTGTAGTTGCCGCCGGGTTCGGGATGTTTGCTGCCGACGGGGAGGTGATGTAGGGATCGGTGGCCGTAGGCAGGTCCTCCTTCTGCTCCCCCGCTGCTGCGTACGTCCTCGAGGGGGCGGTGGTACTGCTGGGCGGCGTCATAGGAGGCGCGGTGGATCGCCTTCGGCTCGGTGTTCTCTGCGTCGCCGCTTGACTCCGGCGCGCCTTGATCGCATTGAGCAGTTTCTGGCGCTTGCCCTCGCTGCCGACTGCGCCGCCTGACACAGCCTCTGTCAGCATCTCCACAAGGGCATCTCCATGTTGCTCGGGCGGGTCGCTCAGGAGCTTCTCGAGCTCCACCATAGCCTCTGCAGCATCTGCTTCTCCCGCCTTGTCCTTCTTGGTCTTCATTGCGCCGGAGGGCTCGGAAAAGACTTCCTGAAGCTCCTGCAGGGCCTCGTCTCTGAGCTTGTAGGCCTCGTTGATGTCGGCGACGACTTTGGCCTTTCGTTCGTGGAACTTGGCCCTTTCTTTGATAAAGGACTCCTTCAGGCCCCGCTGGAAGTTCTCCCACTTGGTCTCGAGCTCGGCGCACTCTTCCTCCAGGCGCCTGGTCTTTCCCTCGGATTTCCGGAAGACATTCAGGGCCTTCTGCACACCCCGTGCATAGGCTCCCGGGCCAACGTAGCTGTCGTCCACCTCCATGTCGTCCTTGGCACGCTGCTGATGTGACGCTTCGGTCACTCGGGGCTGCATCATCTCGAAGGAGGGGAACGCTGGCTGCTTGGGCTGAGCTTCCCGGGTCCACTTTCCTGAGGCAGGCTTGCCCTTTGCATCGCCCTTCTTGCCCTGCCCCTTCGCAGAGCGATCCCATGCAGCTGACCGCGACCACTGTCCATAGCCACCATTGTCGGCTTCCCATTCTCGCCATTGTTTTTGGCCTCGTGTCATCGACAACTCCTTGTACTTTGGGGCCGAGTGATGTGCACTTAGCAGGGCCAGTGCAGCAAACGGTGGTGGCCTGCCCTCGCGGCGTGCTTTCCGAATTGAGAGGCGCGCCTTTGTCCTCCTTGCCCGAGCCCGGCGATGCCAGCTTGGCGACGGAGGATAGCTGCGCGCAATTGCCGTGGCGTGCTCACAAAGAGCACCTGGGGTCTACCGGCAATGGCCTTGCTCCTTGGCAAAGCCTCGATCCGGGACGCCTATTGAATACATACCTATATATATATATATATACACACTAATATGTTCTCTCAGTTGTGCTAGTGGTTACCGCCAAACTCTCAGACTCAAGACATGGGTCTTGCCGCTACACTTACTTCTGTTATGATCTGTCGATTTAGCAAGTGGCTGGTGACTGAACTTGTGGTTGGGGGACCTAAGAGGCAGATGCTTGAGCCTTTGTGCAGAGCTTGCTGGCATCTCAAGGCTTGCCGTTTACGGCATTTTAAAAGCCCTTGGCCAGGCCGCAAGCGCGAGAGAGCCAGCACCGGCAGTGACTGGTCCCGACTGTGTCCTTTTTTGGGGGAGATTGTTTCGCTGAGTTTCAAGCGTAAGAGCACGGTGTTTGTAAGTATTTATCAGGGCTTGCAGCCAGTTAACAGGTTGATCAAGCTTGGCTTGCTCCTGGAACATCAGCCCAAACTTAAGCAGGAACCTACCTTCTTACCATTGCTATGAATTTTTCCCTGTCTCAGGCTTGCCACAGCGAATCAAGCGTAAGAGCACGGCCCGAGAGAAGCCGAAGGCTCGCACCGCGGCTTGGGAAGCTTGCGGGCAAAGTATGCTAAATGCTGAGGATGTATGCTTTGAGCCGTCTTGTCATGGCTCCTACTCTCCACTTTATCAAGGCAGGAAGCTGCGTTAGCCTTCCAGGAGCCCGCATCCAGGAGCTCCGCAGCCACACGGCCAAGGCACCTTGCTGGTAACAGATGCGGTATTCTTTGGAGCATCCAGATGCGTTTTCTCTGTTGCTGTTTTCGCCAGAGAACTTTCTGTTGCCTTGAGTTAGAACAACATCCTCGCGATTGGTGTCGGAAACGAAACGGAACGGAAATCGTTCATAAGCCTTCCTCCAAAAAGACACGTCTAAGCTCGCGAGCCTCATTGTCGGATCCTGGGGCCACCAACTTCCAAAGCGCTGGTCCTTGGAAGATTGGTGCCTGATGATTTTCCAGAACCGAGCTTGCCGCTGTCTCCTCCCGATGAGGAGGTGCGGATTGGTGTGTTTCAGAATCTGAGGGTTTTTGCCGCAAGCTCCATGGAATCCATGAACATGTAACATTGAATTCTTGTGCTCCAGCTGTAAATATTTGCCAGGAGGCCCGACAAGGAGTCTGCATGAACGGGTATTACCAGTTATCAAAAGGCAAGGCAGCAAGCAATAGCTGCCAAGACACGATAGTCGTAATCCGAAGTGCACCGAACACTCAGATTTATGATGAGAGCCATGTTCATGACACAAGTCCTCTCTTCAAACCTCGGCTGGCTGGTTTGCGTGATGTCCCATGAAGGCCCACATCTGAGAAATTGCTTCACATTGGGATCTCGGTTCATGTCAAGCAGTTTTGGGTGTGAGCTGCTCAGTCTGGGTCTAAACCCAACTTAGGCTTTGCAACACATCCTATCAAGACCCGGGCCTTGCTGAACGCATCGACCGATTTCTTGCTTCCCGGTTCGGCGAGTCCCTGCCCTGCATTTCAGGAGCCAGCTGTAGATGAGTGGTGTCAAGTGCACCGGCATAGTCATGGGCCCAGAATTGGCGCTCGCAAAATGGTTTCGGGTCGTTGAGGTTTTGGGCAGCAGAAGTGGACAAATTTGATGTTCCTTGGCAAGAGCATTGAAGAGGTCTCCAAAGCTTTGAGGCTCTGAGGCTTTCGAGCCTTTTTGGGAAGCTGAACCTGAAGCCTACAGCTAGCCATTCCTTCCTTCGGCTCTGCAACCCTGGCCCTAACCTGAACTAAGGGAAGTTTGGCGCCAGGTGAGCATCCGAAACGAGCACTGCCCGCAGAGCGGTCGCGGCCAGCAGAAACGCACCTTTTCTGCAGATGTAGCTGTTGAACTTGTCAGGCTCGGGTTGCAATAGGACGGCCGAAGGTTGCCCGATTCTGGGTCGTCATGGCCTGCAACCGACTTGAGTGTCCATGGGAGAACAGCTACAACCGTGTCAGGATGAACGGGCTGTGGTCCTTGCATGTACTCGGTGTTTGGTTGGAGCAAGTTTGGCGTTGAGAGTGTTCGGAAAATATGTGCATATCTTCAGCCTACACTGCCTTTTCTGATATTCATAAGCCCGATCTTTTTGAAGCTGATCATTGATTCAGGCTGCATGCCGGACGTGAAGCGAACGCTGTAAGTGCCATAAATGTCAGGTCGAAGCTCGCACGTGCCTGCAAAACCGGAGAGAGCGCTCCATCGAGAAGCCAACTGCCCACCCGGAAGGCCACTGAGTGCTCGGGAGTGTGGTTTGTCGACTTACGAGTGCAGCTGATTCCGAACCACCCTGCTCGTTCGGGAAGCGCAACCTCTCCAGTTTTGGGCTCTGAAACGTGAGGACAATGAGGCCATCCTGGCAAGGCTGCTGCAGTGATGAGGATGATAAAGACTACTGTACTCACTCCTATACATCCAAGGCCTCCTCTCCCAAGACGGGCTTTGAGCAAGACTACGACGAGCAGCAGCGGCAGTGGTAGCAGTGGGAGAAGGAGTAGGAGGAGGAGGAGGAGGAGGAGGAGTAGTAGTTCTATACTACTACGACTACTACTACGGCGACTACTAGTACTACTGCTACCAATTGCTACTTCCACTAATTCTTCTACTTCTGTTTCTATCACTACTACCACTACCACTACAACTACAAC